ATAATAGACATTGTGAAAGGGAAAGAAACTGGTCAAAAGGGAAGAACAACTGGGATGGGGGAAAGGAGAAAAGAAGGGAAAAGAAAAAATATATACATACATATTCATACACACATATGTATGTATACACACACGCACAAGATATCTAAGTTTACTACTAATTTTTTTAGTTCATTGAAGGGAATGGCTTGTGCTTAAATTATTTGATCAGTGTTTCATGCTTATATCTTGTAATGTCAGCAACTACTTTGAAGATAATAATATGCAATATATTAACCATTGTTAATTTCCTATTATCTTGATTTGAAATTCTGTATCATTGTTTTTTTCTCTGTTAAAAAAATGTAAAAGGAATGACTTCATATATAGTAATATGCAATGTATTTTAAAAATTTTTATTAGTACATGTGTATAATATATAATGATTATATTTATTTTGGAGAGTTGGTACATATACATAATGCATTTTAATTCTTTTTCACTTCCCCGTTTCCTCTCCTTCCACCCTCTTCCATCTCTATTTCCCTTTCCCATTTGCTAACAATCTCCCTGTTTCCTATTATCTAATTTTCATTTTTAATTTATTTATACTTTGGGTTCAAAAATGCAATGCATTTTTATGGATGAAAACTCATCTAAGGAAGTTATCACAACATAGAAGTAATGATTACCACTGGGTGATAGGATAGTGGGTATGAATGATTTAGTTGTTTACTGAAGAAATTTTCATTTCAGTTATATATGTAATGAGACAACATGGCAATAAAAGCTCACAAACCCCAGGAACAGGACAAGTGGAGTAAGGAACGACAGATCTTACCCAGAGAAGTAGAAATACAAGTTGCTAAGTTGCCTACACAGCCAGAGGAGAAATGCTACTCAGAGAAGCATAGGGCGTGTCTAAGGTTGTTAGTTTTAGCACAGAATCCCCAAAAGCACTTTTAGAATTTCTTCTCCCAGGTTTCCCTATACTGTGAAATGAAGGATGAAGGTCTCTTCAGTGAAATAAAGCCCCATGACTTTTTTTCCTAACACATCAGGTGTAGTGACAGGAGCACAGGGTCACTGGGAGGTACAACATTGGTATCTGGCCACCCGAGAAACTGAGGGCTAGCATCGTTAGAGAAAAAGCCATCTTTTCCACAACCTTTTTTGCCAGAGCTCTGGAGAAAACAGCTGTGGGATATAAGCCTAATGAAGGAGAGCACTACAGAATGTACTAGAACCAGCCCTAGTAGGCCCAGCGAATGGGCCTGCCCTAAACTGGGAACCAAAGCAAAATCCAGAGGATGTCAGCACTTTGGGGTACGATCCAGCTGAGCTTGAACATGATTGGCATGTTCTGGGCCTGTGTGTCAGATCCCAGGTCGCAGTGATTACTACTGCCAGGTCCAGGCAGCAACTGATCTCCACCCTGTCTGTGTGGAAATGCCCATTCTGGGTATTTCTTATAAACCCACATATGCAATAAATGGTCTTTGTGACTGGTTTGTCTTCCTTGGCAAAGTTTTTGGAGGTTCAGACATGTTGCAGTATGTATGAAGAGTTTGTCCTTCCACAATGTCTAGTCATGTTCTAGGATATAGGTATATCTTTCCTTTATCCCTTCACCAGTAGGTAGACATTAAATTGTTTTACTTTGGGGTCATCATGAAACATGTGGCATTAATATCTTAAAATCCTGCTGTCTCAATCTGTTTTCTGTTGCTCGGACACAAAATTCACTGATAAGGTATATAAGAATGTGGTTTATTTTGTCATCTGGTGATTGTCTTCTTGGTGGTAGAGTGTCCAGGCAGAGCAGGGCATCATGCGGTGGGGAGACAAGGAACATGACAGAGTGCTAGCTAAACTGGTTTCATTTATTGGTTGATTGATTGTCTTTTTGAGACAGGGTCCTGCTGGCCTCGAACTCACAGTGATCCTCCTGCCTCAACCTCCCAAGTGCTGGAATGACAGGCATGTGCAACCACACCTGGCTAAACTGGTTTTCACAGGAGACCCACTATCCAGATTAACCTGATTTGTTCATCTATTCATCTATTAATGGAATGATTGAACTAACCCATTAAGGAAAGGAGGACAGAGTACTAATCTCTCAAAATTTTCCCTGCTTCCATGTCTTCTGATATCAAAATGAGGGTTATGTTTCAACCTGAATTTTGAGAAGTGAAATCCTTAGCTTGTCTGTGAATGAACATGTATATTCCAGTCTAATTTTACACTCATATCCTTTTATTTTTTTGTCCACAGTGGGGGCAGACATCTCTACCTTGTTCCCTTGAGAAAAGTATTTATTCTTTTATTATATAGAGTATATTATACAGCTCTAGGTTAGTTGTAGATGCTTTTTATAGGTTGAGGATTTCCCTTGCTTCCTCCAGTTTATGTCTTGGATTGTCTCAAATGTGTTTCCTTTCTCTGTTGAGCTGACCATACTATTTTTGTCCCTTATTGTAGTAACAGGGTGTTGGAGAATAATATACTTTGGAGTGTAATATACTTGTGCTGTCCTTGTCTGTGTTTATTAACAGAATAATGCTATTTTTGTAGAATGAATTGGGAAATGTTCTTCCCTTCCATATTCTGTACTAGTCTGTGAAGGATTAGTATTATTTTTTCTTTAAATGTTCACCCAGACAGACAGCTGGGCCTGACCTCTCAGTTGAGGGAAGGTTTTCATTACCTATTTCCATTTCCTTTCAGGCTTTAAACCTGTCCAAATTTTCTGCTAGTGCATTCCATTTTTACCCTACTTTGCCCCAATATTTTCTTGTCAGCTGGTGCCTTTAATGCAGTGCCTGGTCTAGAATTGGATATGTTGGATATGATCAGACATCATCACCAGATTCTAACTCCTAGTCAGTAGCTTGATATGGTCTCAGATGTCACCCTCAGATCCTCTCCTATATGCCAGACATGGGGATGCAGACCAAGACTTGAAAATGGAGATATGGTTTGTGGCCACCTCCTTTACTTATGTCCTCTGGCATTACTTGCACAATCTCCAGTAGGCCTTGATTCACTCTGCAGCAATACTTCAGCAAACCCTCCATGTCTACTTTACCCAAAGGGGATCCTTCTCTCCCCTCTAATGTCTTGGCAATCCATGGCACACAGGGGATAAACTGCTCTGTCATAAATACATCCACGGTATACGCCAAAGCATGAATGTTTTAGTAACCTTCAGGAGTCACAATAAATGCTGATCACCAAGGCTACAATGTTAGGAAGTCAGGCTTAATGGGAAATATTTAGGTCAGGAGGTACTGTCTCCATGAATGGACAAATAGAGCTAAGATTTGAGGGAGTGAGTTTGGCTTTGCTGACATGTGAGAACAATATTTGCACCCTGCCATGCCATTTGACCTTCTACCATGTGAGGACACAGTAAGAAGGCCCTCAAAAGACATCAGATGCCAGCACCTTCATTTTGGCCTTCTCTATCTCCAGAATTGTAGAAGTAAAGTTGTTTTGTATATAAACTACCCCGTGTGTGGTATTCTCACATAGCAGGAGAAAATGGACTAAGACAGTATTCAATCAATGTAATACTCAATATGGGAGGGCTAGGACCAGCTCTGCAATTTCGGCTCACTTCCCAGTCACAGAAGTCAGCATAGTACAGAATGGGGAGTGGTCAAGTGAGAAAACCTTGGGATTGGTTCAAGCTTGACTGTCACTGTCACTATGAAACTTTTTGGCCAAGACACTGGCCTAGAAAGTATGCAGGGTATAGTTTGGTGCACGGGGGTCAGGCAAAAGGTTGTTTCTGGCCAGTACATTACAACCTTGCAGTACAGTATAAGTACTTACCTCCACATCACTGCATAGTGGTGAGGATTCAACATCACCAAGATTTGGTCCTTTAAAAGCATGAACTGTCCTTTGAGGTCACTGGGTCTCTGTACTTCATCCCAGCTCTCACACAGAAGAATGGGTTAGTTGTGCTAGCCAGAATGCAGCCTGCCTAAGCTCATATGTCAGTTTGGCCTCTTGATGCCTGTGTGACCTTGGCACATTCCCTAACACGGAACTGGCACTGTTGCTACAGGATGGGTCTGTGGGACAGGATGAAATGAGTGAACCTTCAGGAATATACAGAAGAGAGTCTAACACCGAGTAAACATCACCAAAGTAAACATGCACCATGATCCTATCCTTCTACACACTTCCAAATCACTGATTTGACTTTAGGCCTCTGAGTATCAAGAAAGAAAAGCTGCTCTTTATACACCTGGTCCCCAGGACCTGAGAGACAACTCTGGCAGAGTCATCTTAATTCTCAAGCTCTCTGATGAGATCTCAAGTTCTGATCTAAGAAATTCACCTGCTCTCAAGTCACCTTTACCAGCAGAAGACACAGGTTTTTACAGCAGTGCAGTCCTGGGATCTCCCTACAAAGAGAATGATGCAATACAGAATTTGTTTCTGCCTCAGAAGAATCTCAGGTCCCTGGCTGTGTGAGGGCACATCACAGAACAAAAGAAGGGCCAAACAAGGTAAATTTAATTTCCCTGTAGGGGGAAAGAAGGTAAATTTAATCAATCACTCAGGATTCTTGAAATTAAAAGACACATGTCTAAATTCCAGCAGCATTTTGAAATCAGCCAATGCTGCTCCGGCTCTCAGGAAGCAGGCACAAAACTGCTGTTCACCGACCAAGTGTACCAGCAACAAGGAAAGGCTGCTGGAAACCGCACCAGGGAACCAGGGCCAACACTCAGGGGCTCCTTCTGGGAGCAGCCTCTGCTTCTGCCCTTCTGTATCAGAGGACTTTCTTCCAACCTCACTGCCTGGCCGGTATTAATGCTGGTCCCACTGTGGCACCTCAAACAGCGGCTGGGCGGTCTGCGCCTGCCCCTTTCCCCTCTTCTGAATCTCCACGTGCAGAGCTCCTCTTGAAATGCTCTGGTCTGCTGCCTGGGGACTGCAAGGCAGTGATCTGAGACTCAAAAAGAAACAAACCACTATTGATGAACAAACCTGCATCCTAATGCTACTTTCCTTTCATACACGTTTATTTGGTATTAGCGATGAGGCACCCAGGCTACAGTCTTGCATGGGAGAATACTACTCGATTGCTAAGGAGCAGGGCAACACATACAGGCAGCGCATCACAGTCGTAAGAGTTTACACTCATGGCACAATGCTGAAGCATCAAGTTCTAATTCTACATCCCTTTCCCACACTTTTTTGGCAGCAGGTGTTTGCATCTGCTTCTCAGAGTCCAGCACTGCCGTTTCAAGCAGACCTAGCTCTGCTCCCGGGCGGCAGTCGATAAAATGGTACAAAAGCACGTGGACATCAGCAAGGCATTCACGCCACACAGACATCTTATGTCCTCCTGACAACAAGTTAAGGAGCAAAGACGGAGATCTAGGCTGGGAAACTGACAATGTGCAGCGCGGGCGGCAGGTGAGAGGAGGTGGGGAACACTGGTGCGCAGTCTCCTCTGCCCCCAATGCCTCTCAGTGTTCCACAAATGACAGGCAGAAAAGATGAGGACGCAGGTCTCGGGACTCCTCTCCCAATAGCGACTGCTTGGTCTGCAAAAGAAGCCCAACTCCCCGAAGCTGGCAGCACAGCACTGTCTGAATGCCTAAGGGTCTTTGCCCCACGAGGATGAGCATCTCAGTTCTCTTCCAACCACTGCTTGAGCAGCCTCTGGAACATGCTCTTGCTTTCCTGCTGCCTCTCCAGCTGGCACTCCTCCTCTGGCTCCTGCTGCTGCTGCTGCTGCGCCCCGCCTGGCTGAAGGCCAGGCTGGTTGGTGCCCAGGCTGAGGGTCAAGCCACTGAGATCCTGCACGAGGGTATCCCAGGAGGAGGGATTGACGGCCCCATTCCTCTCCCCAGTGACCGCAGAAATATTTGCCGTGTGGGCCTGGCAGTATCGACACTGGCATCTGAATTGATTCTGAGCTCTATGGCCTAGGAAAGAGACTGGGTAAGGTGCCATGTGGTCACGGTGCCTGCGTCTCAGGTGCCCCAGGAATGCTTTCTTCCTCTGAGGGAACCCCAGCCTTTCCCACTGCTGCTCCGGCACAGTCTTCTCTTCCCTGTACTGCTGCTGGAACAGTCCCTCTCGCAGAGGCACAGGGGGGCTGGAGCCAGCACTGATGCTCAGGTCACTGAAAACCATCACTAGCTGGCCTGTGGAGGAAGGCTGAGGGGCTGCGGGCCCCTCCTGCGAGGTCTCCCCAGTGGCCATCTGGGAAGACCCGGAAGTCAACCCTGGATTACATTTCTGGGGTGGATCCATGGAGGTCTCGTCTGAGCCAGAAGCTCTGCCAGGCCCTGGAGTCTAGATGGAAGGTGAAGCTGGAGGTTTTCAAATAACTAGACTGGAGGTAGGAAAGTGCACGGCCAGAAGATGCCAGACTGCAACCAAGGGTGAAAAGAGAAGAAAGAAAACCCATGACTATTCATCTTACTTCACCTTTCTGCACCTCCACTTCTTAGGTGTAACTGCGGCTGATCACGTGATCTACCTCCTGGGCTACGTCCAGAGTGCTGATGGTACATCACAAAGGTTGCAGAAACAAGGCTTATCATTGCAACCGTGAGGGATAGACACTGATGAAATGTCGTGAGTAATATTAATCCCTCGATCTTTTTTCCCACAGTAGGTAGCAAATCTTGGGGATTCTATCACAGAGTTACATCCCCAGCTCTTTTCATTCATCTTTAAATTGAGAGACAGGGTCCTCATCATGTTGGGCCCAACGTAGGCCTAAACTATTGATCCTTCTGCCTCTGCCTCCCAAGTGCTGGGATTACAGGTATACACTACTGTATCCAGCCCTTGCTGAGTGGGTTTTTCCAAGTCATTCTCAAGACTAATTTTAAGAACGCGCAATGGGTGACTAACACATGCTTTTCTGATGAGCATTTATACACTTTCATGAAGTACACTTTTATTAAGTTGGATGTATTTGCACCATGGTTACCCATCCTGTTCACTTTTGCCTTTGTGATCCCTGGCTTTACATTCAGTCCAAAAGCGGCTCTCATATATGAAAATCATGTCAAAATTCTCAATGTATATAATAAGAGTTTACTTATTAAAAGATAGGAGACAAAATGTAGAGATAGTAAATAAAAACAAGAACAGTGAGAAACTACTTGAAACAAAACACTGGTTCTTTGAAATGATGAATTTAATCGATAAATTTGTATCAGGAAAAAAGGGAGGAAGGAAATACATTACCAAGAGCAGCAGTGAAAGAAGAGATTTTACTACAAACTCAGAAAACAACAAAGACACTACACAGTCATATTGAAATAGGGTCCACATAAAGTATGTAGCTTACATCACACTGGCCAATTACCTGGAAGTCATAAGCTACTAAAGTTGACCAGAAACAGAATTGTATGCACAGCCCTACATCTTTTACAGAAATTAACTTTACAGTTAAAAATTTTGCAAAATGATTTCTAGGCATAGAGGGTTTTATTGGTAAATTCTATCAAACATGAAATGAAGACATTACACCAATTTTAAAGAATTTCTTCCAGAAAACGCAGCAGATAAAACACTCCCAAATATATTATGAGGCTAGCACTGCACTGATACCTGAAACTACAGATTAATATTCTGTCATACCAAATGCACAAAATTCTTCAACAGAAAATGAGCGATATATGAAAAGAATCATAAGCCATGATCAAGTGGATTTTATACTAGGAATGCAAAGGTTCTTCTTTCACTAATTAAAAATCAGTCAATGTAATCCACAGATTGTGAATTCAAGTGAAGAAGAAAAGTGACAGGATCATATCAACGTGTGAGGAAAACCATTTGACCGGATGAAAAATCCATTGATGATATTGAAAATTCTAATACACTAGGAATAAAAGATCACTTCCTGAACCTGTTAAAGGGCATATATGAAAAACTGTACAATTTATATCCTATATAATGGTCAATAATTGAATGCTTTGTTTATAAGGCTGAAAAACACCCTGCAGAGATGGGCAGCTTTAACACACCTATTCAGCGTCATGCTGGAAGTCCTAGATGACGGAACGATGCCAGAACAGTCACCACTGCAGTACAGATTCAATACAGTCTCAATCAAATGAAAAGGGAGGAATAATATGCCGTCTCTTCCCATAGATCTCACAACTATGTACTTGGAATACCCAATGTATGAGGCACAATTAAAAATATAGTGAATATTTAAATTAAAAATAAACTATTACAGTAAATATACATTGCCATTAAACCTCCTGAAAATACTCCCCTTTACTTCTAACATACTTATCCCATCATTCTCACTCTTTCTTCTTCTTTTTTTTTTTTTTCCCCCGGTACCGGGAATTGAACTCACGACCTTGTGCTTGCCAGGCAGGCGCTGTGCCGCTGAGCTAAATCCCCAGCTCCTCACACTTTGTGAACCAGTTCGGGACGGCTTCTGTCATGTCTCTAGTTCTATTGTCATAGTTGCCTTGATGTCCTGAATCAATTCAAAACGTTTACCTTTCATGGTCATTTTGACTTTGGGGAAGAGCCAGGAGTTACATGATATCAGATTCAGTGAATAAGGTGAATAAGGACATCCTGTAATGTTTTTCTACAAGGCTGCCTTTCCACTGGCTAGAATACAGCAGCAGTATTCTGCATACTTTTTAAAAAATCACCACTTGCAAAGACAAGAGAGGACTTCCAGAACTGTTTCAGAGAATGATAAAAACAACAGTATATTAGAATAATGGGGAGTACTCTGAGGGAGGTTAATGGTGATGTGCACTTGACTGTAACAAACTGTTTTAAAAAGTTGCTGTTCACAACTAGTATCTCCTCCAAAACTCTTAGATCTAATGGCTGAGTTTAACTATAATATAGGATATAAGGTAAACACATGTAAAACAACCATATAAGTATGAAAAATCTAAGTTTTAAAACAATAGTGTTTAAAACAATAATAGCTTCAAATGCAGTGAAATAGTTGCATACAAAACTAACAAAATATATAATCTATCTTTCAATACTCAACAATGAAATCAAAGGCGGCATAATTAATAGAAACACTGTGCCCGTGGATCAGAAAACGAACATGGAAATAGGTCGATTATCCCTGAGTTGATCTACAGAATTAAAGAGATGTCAACCAAACTCCTGGAAGGAAGTAAGTATATACATGCAAGCTGATTCTACAATTCATATAAACTTCCAAACTTCTGAACTAAGAATGAACTGGAGAATTCACGTCCTTCAGTTTTAAAACTTGCCATAAAATTGCAGACATCAAGAATGCTACTGGAATCAATACTGTCAAAATGGCTGCACTCCCAAAACTGTCATAGAGATTCAATGAAATCTCAATTAAAACACCGAAAGAATATTTCACAGAACTAGAGAAAACATCCTAAAATTCATATGGAACCAGAAGAAACTCAGAATAGCAAAAGCAATCTTGGGCAACAAGAGGAAAGCAGGAGGCAACACAGCACTGGACCTCAAGCTATGCTACATAGCAAAGGTAGTAGAAACATCGCAGTACTGGAACAAAAATAGACATGCGGATCAGCTGAGCAGAATAAACGATAGAGAAACATCCCCAGACATATTCAGCTATTTGATCTTTGACAAAGTGCTCAAATGCAGGCATTGGAGGAAAGACACCCAGTCAGCAAATGGGGCAGGGAAAACTAGACATCTGTTTATAGAAGAATGAAACTGGATTCATATCTCTTACCATGTAACCAACCTAGAATCAAAACAGACCAAAGATCTGAACATTAAAATGGAAATATTGAACTTACTAGAAGACAAAATAGGTAAAACACTTAAAGCCATAGGTATAGGAAAGGATTGTACAAGGAGAACCACAACTGGGAAACAAATTAACAGCAAGAATCAACAAATGAGATTACATCAAATTTTTTTTTGGTACCAGGAATTGAACTCAGGACCTTGCGCTTGCCAGGCAGGCGCTTATGCCACTGAGCTATATCCCCAGCCCGATTACATCAAATTAAAAGCTTCTGCACAGCAAATGAATCAATTAATAGAGTGAAGAGACAACCAACAGAATGGGGAAAAATTTTGCCAGCTATTCCTCAGATAGAAGACTAAAGTTGAAACTATGTAAAATAGAACTCAGAAAGATTAGACCATCTAAAGTAAAAGACCCAATGAAGAAATGGGCAAGTGAAACGAACACATACTTCTCAGAGGAAAAAAATGCAAATGGCCAACAAACTTACAAAAATATGTTCCACATTACTGACCACTCGAGAAACACAAATTAAAACAATGCTAAGTTTCCATCTTATGACAGAAAGAATGGCAATCACCAAGAATTAAAAAAAAAACAAATTCTGACATGGCTGCAATGAAAAATATTTTGTTGATGGGAACATAAACTAATATAACCGTTATGGAAATTCCTGAAAGAACTAAAATTAGAAATGCCATATGACTCAGCTATCCCCCTTCTAGGTTTCTTCCTTAAAGAGCTAAAGACATCATACTAGGGTGATACATACATACCAATGTTTATAGCAGCACAGTTCAAAACAGCAAAATCCTGGCAGCAGCCTGTATACCCATCCACAGACAACTGGATAAAGAAAATGTGGTATGCATACACAATGCATCACTACTAAGTTATAAAGGATATATTTGAGACATGTGTCGGAAAAGGGATGCAGCTGCAAAATATATTGTTGAGAGAAATAAATCATACACACGCTGGGAGTGGCGGCACATGCCTATAATCCCAGCACTTGGGAGTCTGAGGCAGGAGGATTGCCATGAGTTCGAGGCCAGCCGGAACTACATAGTGAGACCCTGTCTCAAAAAAAGAAAAACAAATAAAAATCATATACACAAACTTGAATACCATATAGTATCTCTCATTTATGTAAGGCAAAGTAGAAACAAAGAGCACAGTAAAGGATGGATAAAAGGAGACAAGGGACAGACCTCTAGCAAATGGGAAGGGGTCCAAAGAGCATGGCTGGGAGGACAGGGGAGGGGAAGGGGAAATGAGGAGAATAAAGATATGCTGTGTACAGGAACCTAGTAAGCTCAGTGAATGTAAATATTGCATGTAATACACATGAGATGAGGTTAACAGTATCAGCAAGAACCAAAATGAGGAAAGGGATTTAGAGGAGGAGGGATGGAGGTGGGAGAAGACGGATTCAAAACAAAAGAACCCAGGTATATTACATACATGTAACCATTCCACAAGACGATTGTGAATTGCATGTGCTGCAAACGTGCACTAATAAAAACAAGAAAATGAGAAAAGAAGTGTTGTTGCCTTGGCAAAGAGCAGACGTGTACACTGATGGCAGAAAACAGAGTCCATAAATAGATCCATACAAATATGATTAAGTGAGTTTTTCTTTTTTCAGACAGGGTCTTGCTATGTTGTTCAGGCTGGCCTCAAACTCCCTATGTAGCGGAGGCTGGCCTCAAACTCACAGGAAACTTCCTGCCTCAGACTCCTGCATGCTGGGCAGATGGGCATGCACTACAGTGCCTGGCCGCTCAAATGAGTTTTGACAGGGATATCAATGGGAATTTAAGGGAAGAGAGAATTTTCCAACATATGTTGTGTATTCAAATGTAAAAATATGAACCTTGACATCATGATGTATATATAAAATTAACTAAAAAAATGTATCAGAGACCTGAATGTCAAAACTACAAAGATAAAACTTTGAGAAGATAGTATAAGAGAACATGTTTGGGACCAGACAATAAGTATGAGCAAGTTTCCAATGAAAATCATAATGCATGAAAGAAAGATTTAAAACCTAGTGCTGCTTATGTAGCCGAGTGGCAGAACACTTGCTTATCATGCTGGAAGCTGGGTATTTGATCCCCAAAACTGAAGAGGGGAGAGGAGAGAGGAGGAGAGGAGAGGGGAACGGATGAGATGGGGAGGGGGGGAGAAGGAGGGACAGAAGGAGGGAGGGAGGGAGGGAGGGAGAGACAGAGACAGAGACAGAGAGACAGAGAGATCAAAATATTGGCTCAGAAACAGACAACGAATAGGGAAGCTATACATAAGGACCGCAGCCAGAATACAGAGCCCTGGAAAACATAATATTAAGAACGTAAACAACGCAAATAGAAAATGGGGAAAGGACTTGAACATAAGCACTTTAAAGAGCATTCAACATTATTAACCATAAGAGATAGGAAAATTAAAACTGTGATGACAAAACTTAGTATACATAGAATGAATAAAACAAAACTTACTGACAATACCAAGTACTGGAGAACCTGCCCAGGAACTGGAACTCTCAACTCCTGG